GGGGGGGGGGGGGTCACGCGGGTAAAGCGACACGCGGCAAACAATTCGTCCGAGTGAACGCTGCTGCAATCGATTTGTACGTGAATTAATTAATTCGTTCATTAATTGCTCCTCGAACTCACCGTTTACCTCGTCGGTGAGCAGCAAAAACGAGCGGCAAGCAATTTTTATCGATCTCAACCGATTTTTGCGACTTGACGCTCTCTTCAGAATAGAATCGAGAATACGCGAACGTGAAAGGCGTAATTAAATTTCGCGATCGCACGACGATCGAGGTGATCAGACTCGAGAATGAATTGTCGGGAAATATATATTAAATGAGTTTTCTCGTAATTTACAAAAAATCCAATTAATTTTCCGTTTAATTAATTTTTAATCTCATTAATTTCCAATCAATGAGGTCAGTCAGCACATACGGAGAAAATATTGCAGTGAAAATTACGTTATTATATTTGATTTTACAAGAACTTGATTAGATGACATGCGGGTGTATGGATGGTTGATTAACGTGATGTATTAGTTTGGAATTATTTTAGTGTATTGAGTTGAATATGGGAGGTTAAATAGGGAAAATTATGTAGGAATGAGTGTATAGATAGTAAATGAAGTATAGATGTAAATGAAGACAAACTAAGGCATTAGATAGGAAAACAGGGTTCAGGGCGGAAAAAGTGGCAATAGAAGTTATGGCGAAACGAGTAGTTAGGTAGAACAATGTAAGTAATGCAGATTAGAGTTTAAATTAGTACGATAATACAGAGGAAATTATCGATTGGGGAAATGTATAATAGGTTGAATGTATAATAGAAGACAGAAACATACGTAAGATAAAGGAAAAAGAGAATTCAAGAAATAAAGAGGACAGATTTCGTTATCTGATAGGTTAAGGAAGTAAAATAAAGATATAAGAATTGAAAGACATAAGAATTGGTGGTACTGTGCAAATAAGAAGGTCGAAGTGCAAAGAATATGAGGAAGGTTATAGGATATGAAAAACTTGGCGATGTAAGATGAAAGAAATTATAGGAAATGAAGAAAAAGGCAGATGAATCATTTAAAGTATAAAGTGTAAAGGAGTATAAAATGGAGCAATAAAATTAACAACCCAATGAAAAATTTTTCATACATAATTATGTAAAATTACATAAAATTATATATAATTATATATAATTATATATTATTATGTATCAAATTTGTCCATTCATGTTCATACATTCTACTTATATATATAATTATATATAATTATGTATAATTATATATATAAATTCATATATAATTTTACATAATTACGCATAAATTTATATGTAATTATACATATTGTTATACATAATTGTGTATAATTTATATGATTATATATAATTATACATAATTATGTATGGACAAATTTCATACAAAATTTTGCATGAAAAATTTTTCATCGGGAAGATATGGAAGAAAACTAGAGGGAAAGAGGATGAAGAGGAAATAAGGAGAATGATGAAGAGATCGGATAGGAAGAGAAAAGATAAAGGGATAGATGTGTACAGTTGAAACAGAAGAGAAGGATAGAGTTTGGAGCAGTTTCACACAAAGTGAAAAGATTATGAAGGGAAATTACAAGAGAATTTGGGTAACGAGGATATTATAAAGTCAGGTAGTAATCTCGATTGTAATTTTTATGTGGCCCCACATTACAAAATTCTGTTGTAACTTTTACTGCAACATTTTCGATTTTTAATCAGTTAACAATTGGTATAAGTACCGCACGATTATTTGCGGAAAAGAATGCACACAGGAAAGATCACGCCGAAATTAAACCCAGAATCGAATCGAGCACACTTGATCGTCCCGGTCATTGTGACCGGCTGAGAAAGAATCGCCATCGAAACCCGATCGCCATTTGCAGCCGCGCGTTCGGAGAATTGTTTGTCCCGGACGTAGGTGATAAGGATCACAGATTATTACGAATGACGTAATTGGTCGGGTTTTGTGTCGTTTTTTTTTCGTTTTTTGTTTAAGCCTTACATGAATCGGGATGTGGCTTCTCCTCCGCCACCATCAGGGCTGCGCTCTCTGCTGGCGGTATGTGTCCCTCTAATGCATTCACACAGTTTAGCATGCTCCTGTAAAACATCACGCGACTTGTCCAAGTTTCCACCTCTTCAAACATTTCGGTTGATTCTTTGTGTTTTTTGTCTTTTTTGTTTGTTAATGTTTTCACTCTTTTTCCTCATTATACGAATCCACCTGCGGAGCGTCGGTTCGACATGCACCGTGTTCGCAGCGTACGCGAGAATACACTACGGGCTGAATCATGACTTAACTTCTCACCGCACGATCGTGATTCTCTTTTACTTTCCTTTCCTCACTCGGAGGTCTCTCGGAGCCAGCTACACCGTTTGCGACTTTAACATTAACTTATCGACACGATCGGCTCAACTGGATATCCGTTGAGCTTTCATTCGTAGTTCAATGATACACGAGTCGGAGCGAATGACTGATGATGATACGATGTAGGAGAAATGGCTATAAATGCAAAAGGAACTCAAAGTGGCAATATTTTACAAAAAGAAAAAACGCAGACTCGTCGATATTATACGCTAATGCTCGCACGTTATACGGCTTTCACGATGTGGCGGTATAACAAGTGAAACAAAGATATATTCTCCTCCCGCACTGTGCAAGAGGGGTAGATAGACAGATAGATGGATAGATAGATAGAGAAAGAGAGAAAGAGGGAGAGAGTGCTTCTAATTATCCGCCGACATCCCAGATAATAATTCAGCTGGTTATTATACGAATTGCGTTTTCCCTAAGACACCTCCGTTACGTTACGTCTACGGGTGTGCATATATATATATGTAAACGTGAATCACACACTCGAGATTTACTCTTTACAATCTATTGTAGATTCGGAGAGATCCGTGGATCCACGCATGACTCGACGGATCCACGGATGCACAGCTGTACTCGTGCGGACGTGTTACACTTCGACAATACAAGTGTTAATTATATGTACGTAATGATTCATTTCACAGTTTCTAGTCTTGTACTGTTACAGCGTTTTCACTGGCCTGTGTAGTAGAACTCGTGACAGGTATGCTCACGAAAATCAAGAGGATAAGAAACGAGAAGAAAAGAAAGGAGAAGAGAAGGGGAATCAATCAAACGTCGAAAACGTTCGGCAGCCTGTGGCGCAAAAGATTACATACCTAATAGGAATTCGATCGAGACGATTGCCTATCTATGGGGAGAGTCATCCAAGGGAACATGAGTTGTGAGATCTCGACGAGATCAAAGCACTGACGATACGCAACGCGAGATTTTTCGCGCACCTCCATCTCCGCGTGTGAAAACACACGCGGAAAATCAAGCCGCCCAATAAAAACCAATCGACGGTAATATCACATCAAAATGAGGTTATAACTTCCTACTCAATAACGTAACTGCTACACGCAACGCACACACGAAGACAATATTGCAGTAAGGATGACGTTAAAATTATATTTTATTTTCCTATCCAATGTTCTATTCCATTTTCCTATTCCATTTTCCGTTTTCCAATGTTCTTTTGTACAATTATAATAATTTTTTTTAATAAGAAATTAAACGAATATAATATTTTTCAACAGATATGTGTACACTGTGTGTGGACATGTGAGAGAGAAAAGATATCTAAAGGATAAAAAATCTTTATTCAGTGGATACTGATAACACATTTACTTAACCTTAGAACCCTAAATATATGGATACAATTTCCAGACCAACTTTGCAAATGTTATCGTTCTTAAAAGAATTATGTTTCGTTTCCTCATTTAATTTCTCGTTATATAACTTCACTGAATCGTAGAAACATTAATAGATTCATATTTCTCGATGCTCTCTACGTTAATTAAAAAAAAACATTGAACTTTTACTATTGTTACGAAAGTTACGGGGCAAATGAAAATGGGTAAAATTTACCCATGTTTAGAGTTTATGTAACTTTTTGATGTTTAGGCTTCTAGGGTTAAGGCTCCCTCGCCGCGGAACTCTCCATTGATGACGTCAGAAGCGAGAGAAAACGCGTGTCCAAAATTCTCGCGCGAAACACGCTGAAATGAAAGGGTATGTCCATAAAAGTGACCCTTGGGATCGATTGAGCACATTTGTAAAATATTCCAAAAACTTTCCTGTTGTTCTAACAATCAATAAATAACCGTAAAATTAACATGACATGCAACCATTCTTTTTGTTCTACCTTTCCTCTTAATTTTGTCGCATTAATTTTACGACTATTTATTGACTATTAGGATAAAAGAGTTTATTAGAATTAAAGGAAAATTCGGACTATCTTACAAATTTGTTCAATCGGTCGTAAGTGTCATTCTATGAACATAACCTTTTATTTCGACGTATTCTTCGCAAAAATTTTGGACATACGTTTTCTCGCCTCTGACGTCATTAAGCAAGATGGCCGCGATGAGGGCACAGCAGTCGTGAATCTATAAATTTTCTCATTAATATACAATAAACAATTGAAAAGCGATGTTTTTAAAAAAAAAGTATATTTTTTCATTTCGGAAAAATTTTTGCTTTTATTATAAAAAATATATGTGTATTAATATAAATTATTATATTATTACTATATTCACCAATTAGATATATTTCGTTTTTTAAATATTTTTTCTCTTTCGTGTGGTCATAATTTCTATATGGTTTTATATGGTCCGATATGACCAAGATTCAGTTGCAATTTTCGCTACATTTTCTTTGTGTGTGTCACGTCGCACTTGCATTATTGAATGAGAAATTACAATGTTGACGTAACATTACTGTTAGTTAGTGTCGATTACGGGTATCGATTTGTCGGCTCGGAAGAAGGGGAACTCAACCCGTTGCACAATTAGGTAAGGAAACAGATTTATTTCACAACACAGCAAGTCTATACGGTCTTACTCGGTGATGCCGAAATATTCGTAATACGTACGTGGTATACATGATACTAGCGAGCGGTCACTCGAGATCGAAAATTGTAGTAGTAACTGTATATTGTATATACGTATATAATGCGGATCTCGTACGCACATGCATACACATAGACATATGTATACGCGGTGCGCGTGTCGATTGACAGTTGTCCCGCAGTTCTATCGAGCAGCACGGCTCTCGTCTCATCCGTGAACGATTATAGTCTAGGTCAATGTCTAGGTCCGGCTGAACGCGCCACACGTCGCCTCAACATTTCTCTTTCACTTTTTCCCGATCGCACGGCACAGACGGATTGATGATTACGAATGTTCCCGTTTGTCTAGGATTTATTGATTATCGGTATCGTACGTATGGTTGGCAGTGGTGACGTCAGATAGGACGGTCTCCTTGCTAGAGTTAGTGGTGAGCTCCTCTTCCCTGCAAGACAACAACGTTACATGGCCATCGAGCTTCCTTGAATCGCTTTACGGCGCTTTGCTTTTTTTTTCAGAGAAATCCTATTTTCTTTTGTTTTTTTTTTACTTTTAATTTGTTTCTTTCTTTCTTGTCTCTTATTTTTTTCTTTCGCGCGCGAGTCGTACCTATCGTAAGCTTGCACGCGCTTCTCTAAGACGTTCACGCACAATGCATCCTACGTTGGAGGAACACAAAAGGGAAAACGTTCGACTCTATTTCCTTCTGCTCTCTCTAGAACGTCAACTGGACTGATGAGACATCGACTGCTCGTGTTTCCAACTATATCGCGCCAGGTATGTCGCAGCTAACGCTAAATCCACCGCGACAACTAATGCGCCTCTCTCTAAACTGCATACGTATATTTTCCCGTGAAAAAAAACAATCGACTGCAACAACTAATTGGTCGTACGATGACAGTGGAAAGACGGCACACTCTAGATGAATGACGTGAGATCTAAACAAATCTAAAATAGCTTTCGACCGTCAGAGAGCAAAGGTACACTGCGCGTAAACACTTCTGTCCCGCTAACATGTCCACTATTTTATTTGACTGCGAATATCTAAAGTTCTCCCTGATCATTAGTGATAATTTTTATCATTTGCGACAATTCGACCGAATTTCGCACGGTTATTTCTTTACGGACTACGTAGCCTTTTAGGCACTTTTACCACCCCGAAATCTTTCGTCGTATTAAAACAAAAAAGAGGAAAATAAGAAGTAATTTTGTAAACGATATCGACTTCAAATCGCACTGCTTATGTGCTCGGTCGCGTCTCCTCTCCCCGTTTGTGTCACGAATGAGTCAAGTGGCGGAAAGAAAGAAAGAAAAATCGAGTGTTTAACGCATAGGATTGGCCGACTCTGCTTAGTTAAAGAGAGGTTCTGGTTTAGACCGAAAAGATAGAAGGTTTCTACGAATATTTTTCAAGGAAATATATAAAGATATAGAATTTTGGCTATACTATTTACGATTGTTTTAGAAGTAAAAAGATTATTTAAAAGAGAACTGAGATTTCGTCCTTTCGTGCCAAGCGCGGCGTCGCCGGACGCCTTTCACTGGTGAACAACAGTACAGCTCGTGCAATAATATGAAACAAAGTTGGACGAGAAAATTCAAAAACTCTAATACTTCAAAAAGTAGAAATTGAACAAAATAGCGACATTTCGAAATTCAAGCCATTTTCTTTCTCTCGTCCTCTTTTACTAGTGTCCCGGAAAAAAATATCAATATTGGGAGTTTTCCAAAGAATTTACATTAACTCTCCAGCAAATTTAATACAATCTTTAGATTTTCTTGTCCTATTTGTTATAGATTATTACACTGTTATAGATTATTAAACTGTAATGTCGTCCATCAGCTAGAGGCGTCTAACGACAGCGCGTTTAGTGTCAAAGGTCTGGACGGGATTTAAATTAAAAACAATAACTTTTTACTTAACTTGTAACTTGGGGTGCGGATCAATGGCGCGGTCAAAACCCCGTATCGATATCTTTACTCACTTCTTCAAAAAAGAATTCGAAAGACCTGTTTCTCGGCTATCTCAACCAGAACTTGCCCTTAATTCAGCTATAGGCGCATGGGTCGGCACGAACACAGGCTCGGAGAGTTGTTAGAAGGTTGCGCAGTGATGTTAGATTGTTAAGGTTGTCAGTTATTCGGCAGGCGAACATGTTTACAGGCTAACGAGCAAATTCGCGAAACACTTAGCATCCACCAGTCCTGGTTTCCCCCATCACCGTGTCCCCCTTCGCGTGGATAGGAAGGGGTGCGTCCTCGTGAGGAAGCATGTCCCGTAAGAGCGAGGGTTAAAAGCTCAAGCGCATTACCTTCGATCTTCGTCAGTTAACGTCCGATCAACAAAACACGAGCGCGATCGCGTCACGCTGTCTCTTTAATCGGATCATCCGGACGAGACCGACAAATCCAAGAAAACTCTCGCTGTAAAAACCGCGCAAAAAGCAACGCTGCAGCGATAGCCACTAGAATCCCTTAAGCACGAGTCTGGACAGCGCTTGAATTTCCGTCGAAAATGGCGTTTATTTCACTAATCAAGAGAATCTATTCGGGCTCGCGACTCGAGTTAACCTCTATAGAAAAAACCTTCTTTTACTTTATAATATTTAAAATAATTAATAAAATAGATCTTTTAATTTCTAAGAAACTGATTTTTTCCGAATTTATTTCCCATTTCCCATAAAATAGTAATTTCTTCTATTTTCACAAAAGTCTATAGTGTTTTGTAGAGTTTTTTTGTATGATAATACACAGATCCGCCATTTTCGATAAAACAAGAAATTGAATCTGTCAGTAAGAAATCAGAAGTGTCTAGACTCTTATTTGAGGGATTCTAGCAACCATCAGCCACTGATCTCTCCCCGACGTGCGGGAGACACTTCTCGAATGTTTCGGCAAAACCTTTTGATCGGGCGTGGGGGAGAAGGGCGGCACAGAGAAAGTCCTCTTGAAAGAAAGGCGGAAGAATCGGGATGGAGGGTAGGGGATGGAGGGGTGGGCGAAAAGAAAACTTCTCGCACGCGAGTTGATCGTGAGCTGCACTGGTCACGAACAGCAACTAGAAGAAAAACGTCCCTCGGGTTTTTCTTTATCCCGCAAGAAACACGAAGGGAGGAGCGAAAATTCGCGCGAGATCCCTACAGTTCTCTTTCGATTCGAGTCGCAGCGAACGGCGACACGTGTAATAACGGAACGTTATTGCAAAAGCGCCAGGGGGGAAATGTGGGGAGAGGGGGAGGGCCTTAGCCGCTCGTCCGCACGTCGATCGCAAACGCCGAGATATAATATCGTGTCTCTCAACACAACTCAGGAATCGCTCGTAACGCCAAACAGTAACGTAAGCACTAGAGAACGCATGCAGTCGCACAGTACAGCGCCATAAAACTCGTGCCAACTATATCGACATAAAAAACTGACTTCCAAGACTCGCCTGTCGCCGAAACATTTACTGGGCATTGTAATAGACTAAGAGGAGCATGCTGTAAGATACAAGGCTCCAGGAGGTAGTCAAGTGATCGGGGCTGTTATGTAGCTGATCTCCGAGACGCGTTCCGTCTCGCGTTCGTTCGCGCGTTCTAGCCTCTCGCACCTCCGTTCTCTTACGAATCCCGTGTAAGTGAGGCCCGACTGGATCGGTAACTATAAGTGTCGCAAATCGACGCGCGTGTCGGCTATAGGCGAGAGACTCGGGGATACAGCAAGTGTGACTGGTCCTCGATCGGGCAGAATCGCGGAGTCGAGATCGCGAGGCAACGACGACGTTTACATAATAGCCCTGACAAACTTTTAGAAACTGTGAAATGTATCTCCACAAAAGAAAGAGGAACAATTTATATATATATACATATATGTAATATATATATATGTATATATGGTAACAACTTGTCCATGCAGCTATGTATATATATGTACATATATCTGTCTCTTTTATATAGTCAGCCTGACTGTTTACGCATTGAGAGGATGGAGACTCGCATGAGCTGATAAATAAGTAAAGATGTTTCGACATGCCAGGCCGTTAGACCAAAGTTTTATGATAGTCGCATGGTTGGCTGGGGATTATTTTTTAGACGATTCAACGCGGTCATCGTCGGTCGCCTTTTTCTGATGATTGCGTCTGAGATGAAAAAGAAAAAAAAAACACAGATAGATTAAGCGTTCGAAATGGACAGACGGAGAAAACGCCTCTCCGTCGGCGTCCGTTTCTCTCGATTGCGTCACGTCTCACGAAACGATTTCCCGACGAACCTCATGCGGGTAGCTTCAAGCAGTTAGGCTTCTCGCAGGAGAGAAACTAAGATCGATCGTGTCTCTCATCCGTCGTACGGTTGCGCTCGATGCGTAAAAAATAATCCCTCTTTTGGATGTAACTAGTGGTGTCTTTGATCGTTTTATATCCTCATGCAGTTAAGGTAATTCGGGGGAAGAGAGGTATACGTTCGTATAATAATATCGTAACAAAGCCACCACAGGTAAACAGGAAGTGTTGTAGCAGGACTCACCCATAAAGTCTGCTGTCCCGCAAGCTGCTCCTGCTCCCAATAACACAGAAAGCACAGTTACGATATGTCGAATAACACAGTTGTCGACGTCGTAGTAACGAAACACGGAAATCAACGGCAAATCGTTACCAGATAGAACCATGAAATAATTAATTTTATTGAAATGATACATGTACATGTACGTTAAACAAAGAGAGAGAGAAAGAGAGAGAGAGAGAGAAAGGAGAGAGAGAGAGAAAGATAAAGAAAGAGAGAAAATATATTCATTTGGTTTTGAAAATATATAACAATAAGACTGCAATATCTCTCTTCCCTAACGCGAGACTCGAGGAAATAACGTGTCTTACAAATTACATTACTCGAGAAAGAAAGTCGCAATCTCCCGACAAATCGTTTACGGCGGGTTTTCACATGATCGGCCGATCGTTCCTTCTATGTAACACAGACACGTTCTCGCAATCCTCTCTCCGTAATCTTAACAAGGTGTCGTCTACACTGCGGGGATCAAGAGCGAGATAGCTGAACTGTTGCACCTTGCTTGCAATTTTCCACACTCACGGGATTCTAAAATTACGTCCTTTTGGTTTACACTCTTCGACATTTTCAGAAGCTAGTAACCTACTACGGAGACTCTTTCTTTTTGTGTTTTTCTTTTCATGTTTTTTTTTTCTTTCTTTTCTACGCTTTTCTCTCGTACAGTAATCTTCTCTGTTACACATGATTCGCACGGTGTGTCTTCTATCCGCTATCGATTAATTGATAATGCGTCTTATTCGTAATAAGTATATGCAAAAACGTACGTCAGCTACGTCCGATAGCTCGACGAAGAAATGAAAGAAAAAGGAAGAAAGAAAGAAAACAGGGGAATTTGTGAAGATATCGAGAAATTTGCGATCGAAAAGAAAAAACCACAAGCGCGGCGTGACGAGATTTTCAGCGTGAGATCCACGATATGACGAATGTTCTACTTAGACATATGTACAAACGTCCGCGCACATAAGAGTACAACTTAATTCCTCTCTATCGTAGAAACGAAACTTTTTATCACAGTTGAACTCCTGTTATTGCTTCGAACAAACAGCGATGCATGCAAAATGCGTAGCGTAATATGCTGTCCCGCGTCGAGTAGAATACGTATGTATGTATATGTATAATATGTATAATATGTATACACATATAGTATACAATAGAGAATATATATATATATATATATATATATATATATACACATTCTATTGTATATTATATTATATGTACACATATACATATACATATATACAATCGTCTTAATAAATTATAAATATATATGTATATATATGCATATATCATATGTATAAAATGCATCGTCAAAGATTCGCGAGAAATTCCTTATTAAAAATAACACACTTTTCGTTATCGAAATGTAGACGGACGGACGGACGGTCGGTCGGACGGACGGACGGACGGACGGATGGTCGAACGCTCGGACGGTTGCGATAACAGTATCTCCATACACCAAATGCGGCGCGTGTATATTTAATTGATCTACTAAGTCTCTAGAACCTCCTTCTCCTTTGGTGCAATTAACGGTTAGTAACTTGTGCAGTTAATTAGGTTCGAAAACGTGAGCTCGATCATCCATTACTTAACGTTAATACTTCGAATGCGTACCGGAGTCGGAAATGAATCGGGATACATTGAGAGGGAGAGAGAGGGGTGGCTATACGGAGGGGAGGGGAAAGGTGGAGGATGAGGTGGGAGTATATATCGCGGTATATCAAGCTATATATACGTATAAGGTATGTAATAGTAAGGTACCGAAGAGAATTCCCTCTCGAAAGAAACTAAAGGGAGACGTATGCAGATCTCAGCTATGTATAGAACATTTTGCTATTGTACGTACTGGGGATGGTAGTAAGTTGCTTATGTGCTGCGTACCTGTCGTTACCATGTCTGAATAAAGCTAGAATCTCTTCGAACGTTTTATTCTTAGTCTCAGGAACCTTCTTGTAGGTGAAGATCCAGAAGATGGCTAGAAATGCACTGAACGGTAGGAACGTGTAGTTTTCAAGGCTTCTCTGCAACAGAGGAAACGTGCGCGCAGCCGCGTTTGTATCGAGTCGAATCTGCGGCCGATCTCGCGTTATCAAATTTACAATGACGTCAGAATCGCGCGTAACATTAAAGCACACACTCTTGCATGAAGACATAATACACAACGCATAAGGAAGTGAACTAATTAGAGTCCTTTTTATTGCCACGATGAAGATCAAGGACTCTGATTGGTCAATTTTCTTATGTATTATTCCTTTATGCAAAAGTGTATGCTTCCCGCTTAACTCTTTGAGGCACATTGCGTATAATTATGTGCACTTTAGGTCCTTCTTACTTTTTATATTGGCAAAGAGATGGTACCGTCGATATAATGTTACTGATATATTCTAGACAGAACCGTACACTTTGCCCCAACTTGCGAAACAGTGATTTCCACATTGAAGAAGCAGTAATTTAAAGTTTCTCACGAAAAACAGCAAACATATTTGGTTATAGTCATGTAAGAATGATCTAACCTTCATGAAGTACGCGTTTCGAGAAAAATAAAGATGAAAATTTGATTAAAAAAGTATAGAGATTTATACATTGAGGTTCTTCGCAATCGTTCAAAAAATTAGGCATGTCAATTTCCTTCTCTTCAAGTATATTTACTGATAAGCTTAATCCTTGAAAAAATGAGTAAAAAACACGGGAAGTAAAAAATACTTAAACTAGTAGGAAGTAAAAAATGTTTTTTAATTAATGTGAAGCGCTCAATAAGACTTGGATGTTTTTTGTTTTATGTAAAAAGACATATGGACTACCCATTGGTAGAGAGTAAAAATTTAAAAATCATAATTTTGTGGCTTGAACTATTCTTGCTTAACTATGACCATGTTAATTTTTCAATTTTTCATCGATGTCATCTCAAAGTACAAGATTAGCACTTTAATGTCATTTTATGGGCATGTCTTTTTATTTTAATGTATTTTGCAAAAATTTTCAACGTACATTGTTTCGTTTTTGACATCATTAATCAAGAGTTTTAGTAAGGGACCAAGATCCTTAAGATTTGATGTATGAAGATATGCAAAGATCCCAGTAAACACCAGCTGACAGTGACATTTTACCAACATTATGATTTCTCTCTTAACAATACAATACATGTTATAACAATATAACACATGTTGTACGTCGAGTGGGAAATTATAATATTAATATAATGTTACTGTTAGTTAGTGTTTGCTAGTGTAGGAATTTGCATATTCATGTACAAGAAGGATGTTCGTCTTTTTATATTAAACGAGCTTTCGAAATCTGCCGACAGATGACATTTTCTCCGCGATAAGTGTTAGCTATCAAAGTGTTAATCTCACGGACAACTCGACTCGTATGATGAATCTACGCGTCGTAAAAGGAAATCGGCAAGAACTCGTCGGGTCAATCGGCCTTAGCCGATCGTCTCCGCCGTCTAGCACTCACCTTCATGCTTGGAAAACCGATGCCAACCAAAAAATTAGCCATCCAATTGACGAGGACCGCGATGGACATGGCGGCCGGTCTGGGACCTTGCGAGAACAGTTCCGCCGTGATCATCCAGGGTATCGATCCGGGTCCTACCGCGAAGAACACGACGAAGCTTAATGTCGACACCACTGACAGATAGGACATCCAGTCGATCATTTCCTGCACATAACCAAAGAACTCCTATCAGGCAGTAGAATCATGTTCTTCTTTCCTGAGCAGCTGGAGGAGCCTCAGGAGAAAAGGAAACGGAACCATAATACGGCAGGCGAACTCAAAGCCGAGAACTCATATGCGTCGAAAATGATACATGTGTAGGCGCAAAATGTAACTTGTATGTATATATATATGTATATAAATAGATGTATAATATACTGGCATGCGGTGCGCAGCTCAATCCTGTGTACGTAAGGCATTGCGACGTGATGGCGGCGAAGTATCTCGTATATAATAGTGACGGTGCCTAGTTATATTTACAGTACCGTTCTCTCGTCAAGCGGTGAAGCACGCTGAGATTCATGATGGGTGCCAGGATATCGCTTCGACCTCGACTCTACAGAATAGACTAATGCCCTCGGTCGTGGCGTAGTCGTCGTGTTCTACCATCGCGAAATATCCGTACGCGACCTCGAAGAGGGAAGCGTAAGGAGTTTCCGTTTTCCCCCTTCCGGGATTTGTCGGGTCCTCTGCCCGTAATCACGGTAAAACGAGGCGACACGCGAGTCGTACTACTTTCGTTAATATGGATCGTTAATATGGACGAGCACTATCGGCAAACACAGAACAGACCCCTTCACCGATTTCCCGAGTGAAGCGTGAAAGCATCGCTGCTGGACGAATCTGAGCGGTTGAGGTTTCCCTTCGAGTCTCTGTTTTAGTAAGATTCCATGGACGTTGTGAGAGAAGTTAGTGGGTTGTTTAATGAGTAATTTCGGATTTTGCTGATGAAACGTAACGATTATACTTCCAGACAGCACAAAACGTTCAAGAATCATCTAAGACGTCTTGGGGAGTGCCAGGACGTCTTGAGTGCATCCGGAGTCATTTCAAAGTGTTTTATATTATCTAGATTTTTATGTCGTTGTATATTTAAAAGATATAAAATTATCTTAGCGGAATTCTTTAAATCTTACTTTTATATATGGCTTCAAGAGGATTTTTCTAAAAAGGAAAATATTCTAGACGTAATATTCTTCAAGTTAGGGGAATTTCGTCTTTTATCTACAGTACAAATCTTATTCTTAATAGAAATTTTTTCTAGTAAGAAGGCATTCTTGCGAAAGTGACACCTCGATCTGTGTGAGCGGCTACCCCTTTGTAAAAAAGAGGGTATTCTGCTTCAAGTAAACATGTTCCTCTTGATTTAACAGGAGAAAAGTTAGAATAATATCTAGATTTCCTATTAATAGCCCACTTTTTATTAGAAGAAAAATACTCTTTCAGTGAGAATTTTCATTCAGAACACGAAATTATAAGAAACAGCACCTTGCAACTTATTATTTTTATATAAAATTTCATGAAATAAATATGTATGCTAAGGATGGCAGAAGATCGTGGATGAAAACGGTACATACATTATTTTACGAAATTCTAATGACGTAGAAGCGTACAATCGTTTTATTTGATCTGAGAAATCCGAGATCACTTATTGCACAACTGTATGTTTTACTATTGGAGCGCACTTGAGCGTGCATATCGATAAAAATTTGTCGGTCATTGATGTAATGCGACACACGGAGTGACAGGTTTGAGCCAAGTATAGAACAGAGGCTGATTAATAACAGGAAGTATAAACGTCTCCTCCAGACAGTCACGAAAGAGGTCGTCAGTGGTGAAGGGGAGGAGGGAAGCGGGTTACAAAAAGCAGTACTACCAGTAAAGCCGGAGTAAAACAAACAGAACGGCGTGCGATGTGCAATACGTACGACACCGTTCGAATCTTTGCGCTTCGTTTTGCGTCTTCTTCTGCGTCTTTTTCCGCGTTCTCACCTTATTCTTACGTCCCCCTCCTCTCCCTCTCCTTTATGTCTCCTATATCGATCACTGATATCGTCCTCGCCGCCGGGGATTACGGCGCGATGACGCTTGAAAGCAGTCGTTCAAATTACCACGAGTATCTCTTGAAAATATTGAGTTGTTCGTAAGTTCGTAGGGATTTTTACGAAAAATTCAAAGCCACTACTCTTATAATTAGACATAATTTTATTTTTTCCTTTTTTCTCTTTGCAATAGTACGCACAGAAGAATACATATTGTGTTTAAATAAACGTTACTTGTTTCCAATATTTCGCAAATATATATTCGCAAATTCATTATAAGTTCATTATAAGCATTAAATTTACCTGAAATATACTGAATAAAAATTCTGAATCCTCTGGTAAGTTTATTTCAATCGAGAATATTGAAGTCAAAAAGAAATTCTTTGTTTGTTTAGTACATGAAGTACATGTTGAATCAACTTTTTCCTTGATAAAGTTTTATAATATTCTTGAGAAAAGAATAAATTTTTCTTTTGAGTACATGATAAAGGGCTTTTCTAAAATATTTAAATATGTTTTAAAATTGTTATCAAGAAAACATTCTTTTGTATTATCTGCATACTTAAAAGAAGAAAAGAAAACTGATTAATCGTTTCTTTTCTCTTTTTCTTAACAATAGAATATTTTTCTGTTATTTTTTTGCATGTTTGTTGAACATAAATATTACTTGGAAGAAAGAAAGAAAATTTATCAATCCCTGTTTTGCAACAATAAGATAATGTTTTTCTGTGTGTAGAAGATATTCGAGGAAAACAAAAAGATTAATTTATATCTAATTAGAAAAATATCAGTTTTTTCATAAAAATTTCTACGAACTTATATTACCGAACTACTTATCAAACAACACAATGTTGCGACGGTCATTAAAAAATATTACGAGCATCCTTCAGAAAAGTTTATGCGACAGTGTCGTGACGTATTGCGACGTAAAATCTCTACGAGGCAAATGAGAAGAACGGCATGCAGGTAGAGGACGTACTTATAAAATACATGAATGGGGGGCGGGAAGAAATTAACATGAGTCGATCGAGTGATGCAGAATTCGTTATAAGAGATATCAGTTGTGATTCTCACTGTCGGTGCAGTGCTGCACTCCAGCTGTGAACAAAGTGTTAAGTACACCTTTCGCCAAGGTGCATAAGAGTGTCAAAAGCACAGATAAGTAGCTATGTACAGATTCACGTTCCTCGTGATGCGACTCCACCGGGTGAAAAGCGCAAGAAGTTTTCTCTCAGCGAGATTACGGAGAGACATATGGAGAAATAAATTCGCCGACACGTATCACGCGCTGCGCATCGTTCGCAAAATCGGTCTCTTCCGAACTGTACTTTTCCAGATGACGCCCGAAATAAATTATTACGTTATCGCCACTGATGTGGAATATTACGTGGAATATGTGACGTGTATTAATTATCTTACTGAGTTCATCAATTTCGAACAAATTGCCGGACAATGGACGTCCGCGCGACGAATTTCCCGAATCGATAATATTAAATATTCGTGACTGTTCCTAAAATAATGCCGACGGGCCGAAAACTCCATAAACGGATCGGCAGCTTATCATTGAAAAAGTAACGAGCGCGTCGCTTACATTCTGATAAAATGGCGCGTCGGAATTCCAACTCACCTTTATGAGAAATGAAATTGTGATGAATATTGAAAAGATAAACATGCCACCGAGACCATACAAGTGCAATGTACGCCTTCCTGTCCTATCCATGAGCGGGATGGACACTAGCGTCATACAAACCATGATGGCACCTATGCCAATGGTTGCAAACTTGGCACTCTCGTCCGTTAAACCAGAACTAGTGAACAGATTCGTAGAATAATAAAATACCTGCAAACAAAGCGCGACAACGCGGTATTATTAAAAGGCGTGCGTCAAATTGTCGCACACGGAGAAAAAGAATTGGTTGAGTTAATGATGGTTTCTAGTTAAAATGACCGAAAAATAATAGAAAAGTTCGATTAATCTTTTTTTCACAGAAACGAGCAAATATAGGGTTTTAATTGTACTACTTATCATTGTTTTAAATATAAAGAAATTATTCTTTTATGTAAAAAAAGATTGGAATTTTTTGGCCCAAGTTTTTTGTGCTGAGCCTCTAACTAGTGGGACGTATCTCTAATTGGTGGGAAATATCACAGCTCACGTAATAATCTAAAGCAAATGGGACTATAAAATTGTGAGACTGTATTAAATTTGCTGGAACAGTTTTGTTATATACAGAAAGTCGAATATTTGACAAAATGAAAATACTTCGAAGTTATAAGTATTCCTCTTTCTTTCTATTTTATTTAGTGTTTCAAGGAAAATATCAATTTTGGAAATTTTTCAAAGGATTTAAGTTCATCCTTCAACAAATTTAATACAGTTTTTCTTATTTTCTTGTCCCATTTATTTCAAATTATTACACAAACTGTAATGTTATCCATCAATTAAAGGCGACACCGCACTTAGTACAAAAAAGCTGGACAGAATTTCAATTTTTTAAAATATTTTTTTTATTCTCAAAATAATGATAAACAGATTTCAAGCCCTATTAATATTTTTATTCATTTTTTTGAAAAAGATTCCTAAACATTGCGTATTTTTCTATCTAAGCCAGAATCTTCTTTTAACGTGACGATTATGTAAACGCATCTTAGTCAAAGGAAACAGAATTTCTGGTTCTTATAGATTAAATTCGACTCTCGAGAGAATAAAAATCCTGTTTCCTTCTATCAAAGCGCGTTTAGTTAGTTGTGTCATTGTCATGTTAGTTCAGTCAATCTGTTTTTCTCCGTGCACGTTAATAATATCTTCGACGTAACAAAGGAACGTCGAAAAACGCGAGGTCGTGCGCGATTAAACGGTTACTCACGGCATTGATACCCGAAAGCTGCTGCGAAAGTTGCATAACCACACCAATCACGAGAGGTGCTCTCAGAGTTGGGCTGCATATAAGCTCTGTCATTGAGATGGTAGACTCAGCTTGTTGAGCTCGTTCCTCCGCTCTCATCTCCTCAATGTCTTCTTCTACTTGGTTACTAGCTCTCAACCTTCTCAAAGCTTTCCGAGCCTCTTCCTCCCACTGTTTAGTAATGAGCAAATATCTGAAATCGCAACAATTTCCCGCCGTCAATCTTTGAATCCTGCTCGATCTGAAGATGGAGCTCGTTCTCACGCTGAATCCTTCGAGAGGACTCCTCTGAGGATCGAGTCCACTCGGGCAAAAATCTCAGAAACGCGTTCTTTTCGGTCGCGCGATAATGCAAGTCGTCCTTACCTTGGAGATTCCGGGCAAACTGGAAGCAGTAGTAACTGTAGAATGGCAGGACAGATAGCTAGTCCTAAGAGAATGGGCCAGCCCTCGTTTGTTCCAAGAATCTGCTCGATGCCCAGCACCTGGGAGACTAGGAGGCCCACCGTAACAGCGAGCTGGTTCACCGTGCCTAGGCCGCCTCTCAGGTTCAATGGCGCTATTTCCGATATGTACATGGGAACCAACGAGGTGTTTAAGCCACAATTGACACCGATGATAAAGCGTCCGAAGAACAGCATCTCGTATGACTTAGCGAACTTCGTGAAACCCATCAGGCACGCCCCCAAAATGCCCAGCACGTTGTTTAGCAGTAAGCCTCCCTTTCTGTCATTCGGAACAGAAGATCACAGTTAATTCCCGCGTACTCGTGCTTTGCACGACTCGGCCGATTATCGTTCTCCAGAGATTTCCAAATTACGGAGGGGATGCGATGTCATTCAATATTTTATCTCATTATTGAATATATTAACACATTAACTACTGCACGGAGAAAATTTCATAGCAGGAATTATTACAGAATTATGTAATCGAAGAATAGATCGATATTCTGCGGTAATTTATTTCATATATGCCATTTATCTTCTTCAGGAACTCTAAAAACGTACTGTTAAAAAATTTGACATGTATCTAGCGAAATTGATTATGTTTCTAATTTTTACTACAAAATTCTCTCTGTAGCTGTAATAATATATTTACCGACTTCTTTATTTTCAAAAAGTAATAGTATCAAACATATTTTCTTCACGTATGAAATTAATTACGTAAAAAAAAAAATTGGCATCATGATAAGCTTTTCCGAAAACTTCATGGCAATCAACGTGTTAATAACACTTTCAAGATACTTTCAAGAATTTTATAGACAAATATAAATGGGTTGTATTGGTAATATTAATAAAAAGCTTCTGAAATGCTGTACATAGAGATATGGCTTTCTGAAAAAAGAAGAGTCTAAAAATATACGCACTTGAATACATGTATGTATTCATAGCGTTGCTTCGTTGAAAAAGGTGCGAGAAGAATTTTTGCAAAACGGGGAAAGTGTACGGACATTGTAATTTGGAAAGCGCTAGAGCTCTTCGTTAAAATCGAGAAGGACGACTCAAAGAGTCGGTTGGCACACCAACCTGCCAAATCTGTTAGCAATCATCCCTCCGCTGAAGCCACCCAGCATACCACCGATCGCAAATATGCTCACGGCCAAGGAGTATAATGTCTTAACAGAATCATCCGAAATGTCTTCCCCGTACCTATCCTTGTACACATCTTTCATAAAGTTCTCTATATTCTGCAAGAAAATTCGAGCACGATGAATCATACACAGCGAGAGATATTGGACATGTACATAAATATATATTCGCGGCAATTATTCGAGGCACACATATGTGTGGCACGTCGTGCCAATGTTAAAGGGCGTACCACTTCAGGCGCGTTAATCACTCCAGTGTTGTATCCGAACTGCAACATTCCCAAAACGGCAGCCAGTATCGCGTATGACAGGAAAAGCGTCAGTCCCTGCAAGCATCCGAATTTGTCGTTTACAATTTCACGTTGAGAAGTGAAATTACGTAAAATACAATTTTTTCCAACACACCTAACACTCAGTGCAGCAAAAATATATATGCTCGAGAAAGAAAAATGTGCAGAATAATAGAAGGAAGGGAAATGAGAGGGGGAGGAGAGGAAGACGAGTATGTCGTAAAATAACAGGATTACCGTGAAATAAAATAAAAATACATGAACATAGAATTGTTTCGCAAACTTTTATTAATTGCATCGTTGACACACGCGCGCGCACACACGTACACATACTTCAGAACGTAAAAATCATACATTAATAAGAAAATAAGAAAAGTGCACAACGACGTCACAACGACGTGACCGAGTATTCATGACGTGGCAACTCAAAACTCGCATTCTCAAACTTAAAACATAAGAAGATCAATGAGACAAACGACGTCGCTACTCAAAGTCGGAAGTCACCTGCTCCAAGAGCCTAAGTTTCCGCCGATGGGAATGCTCCTCCAGTCGATCCACATACTCCCGCAATTCTTCTATCTCTTCCTTAACCTGTTGTACCGTATCTAGTTCGTGCTGCGCGCAAAAAACACATCTTAGATATTTGCATATATACCAGTACGCGATTCTTACGTCAGTAAAAAGAACTACACTGACCGTCGCGAAGATCCCGCTTAAAAGATTCGATAGAATTACACAAAAAAAAGTCTATATAACTAAATCGTGTTTTTGATAAAAGATAATAAGAATATATACAAGGCACGTGTACTCAGATAAACATTTCATTGTTTACTATAACATTTAATCGTTAAAGTTAAGTTACGATATGAAACAAAATAAACTGATAATTTTTTTTATATGAGCTAAAATGTGAAAGATTGAAGTTTTTTATAGAAATAATAAATTCAGATCATATAGTCAGTATCATATAATATTTCATAATGGAATTTATATATATGTTTTCATCAGTCCTCTCTTATTGGATTTTTTAAGCAGAGATGTCATATTGTTAATCATGAAGTTTTTAACGCTTTTATTATCGAAGAAAGAATAGATTTTTTTTTTTATTAAAAGAATAGTTATGCACACACAGAGAAATGAAATACTTGAAAATTTATTTGTGAGATATAAACTTTACCACACAAATAAATTTTGTCTCATAAAAAAAGAGAGATAAGCTTTTAACTAATACGTTTTCAAGCATTTCCTTCTCAGTGTGGGCTCATCAGGACATTTCAAAGACGACGAGCAAAGTCGGCTTAGGTCGAAGAGCGCGTACGCGCCGAATAGTGTACCTTGATCGCGACCATGTCCCGCTTCACCTCGCTGACCTCGCTCTGACAAGACTCTACGCTCTTCGTGAGCTCCTGCAGCTGCGTGCGGATCTCGCAGAGAGCGACGGTAGTCTCCAGCTGGCGGTCACCCCGCTGCTGCAGCTCGTCCAGCTTGGCATTCAAGTTCGAACTCATAACGCTGACCTGTTTCTGCAGACTGTCCCCACACACACACAATCCCTACGTGAATCTCGCTGATTCGTACGGTAGAGCGGATCGACATAGTCGAGCATATTGGCACTAGACAAATCAAGGCTAGCTATGCCTAAGTCCCTAAGAGTCCAACTACCTCCGCACTTAACTGCCGAGCCGTGCGAGAGCGTTTATTAGTCGCGACGCGTTCTCGCTTTATACACTTATGCCACATATTCTATTTTCGCGAATGTTGCCGTCGCGAACGTACACGAGACGTATGCGAAGGCGTATGTAGAGCTGTGCAGTGTTGAGGAAAAAACGATTCAACAGGTGCAATGGGACACCTTTTCCGCGAGAGCTCGAAAATACCAGCGTTAGCTCGGCAGCCATGGGAACGTTGGATGTGTATATGTGTATATATATATTTTTTTTTTTTGTATATATACATATATACGCGAATATAGCACGTGTGAACAGATATAGATATATATATGTACAGTTGGCTCTCTCTCTATTATTTATATAGTATATATTTATGTAGTAAGTATATATATATAATATGTCACAAGTTGCAGGGAAAAACAACAGCAGACAAAATACAAACGCCACTAAAAGCACGTCTAAATGTGTGTGGTGAGTGTGAGGGTGACAGACACTACTAGTGGTATATATAATAATATATATAGAGTACATATGAATATATAAATATATTCTTCGTAGCTGTGCACACACATTAGATGGAAGTTTGTGAATTCGCGTGTGTGTATATATATATTATATATAAAAGTGCCTTGTTTTCTTTTATCTTCTCACAAATGTATTCTCTTGCTGAAACAATGTCAGGAACAATGTCAGAAAATGATAATGCTACGTCCGTGAAGTCTCGCGAACCTAACTATATCGCCTCTTGGATCTTATTTTTTTCCTCTCTCAGTGTACGATCATTCTATGACCACGATGCGGGAATGTGCAAATGAGTGAATAATGGTTGATCACACGCACGCACTCGATACATGTATAAAAGACATGTGACGAAGGACCATGAAACTTTCGAAACGACGGTGAATTAGCAAACTCATCGATCGATGTGCACAGCCAAGCAGAAAAAGGGTGACTTAAGATGAGAATGTAATAAAAAAAAAGAAAGAGAGAAAGACAGAGGTTTTTTTCTAGAAATGTGTGATGAGCGACAGGTGAATAGCAGAAATGAATGAGCACATGATTCGAAGACGCGGAGAGATGAGGCATAAAGTAAGAGACAGGAAGAAGATAGAGGGTTCACGGGCAGAAATAGACATATAGAGAGAGATGGACGTATGTACACTTATCAAATAAAGGATTGCACCACTTGCCTATCTAGGTGAATGGAGAACGACGGATCGGAGAAAGAAAGAGAAAGAGAGAAGGAAAGAGGAGAGAAGGAGAGGAGGGAAAACAGGAGAAAGAGAGAGGAAAGGTGGAAGGAAAAAAAGAATCAAGGATCTAAAGCATTCAAGAGTCTGTATCGTGGGCACGCATTCGGGATGAGTGCAACTAGAGATCTAATTTTGCATCCAAAATAGATACTGAAGTTCGTTCGTATAATAATACCGGGCCAGTCGAGCGTAATTAATCGTGCTTCGGAAGAAGCGTAACTCAAAAGTAGTACAAAACTATTTTTGATATGTGTACATAGAATAGAAACCCGGGAGAGAGATAGAGAGAGCGAGAGAGAGGTGACAGAGAAAAAGAGAGAAGAAAAAAAAATGAATGAAACAGAGAGAGAGAGCAGTGATGATGTTGTCATGTACCTGGGAGGTAGGGAGACCATGGCTGTGTTCCGAAACTACAGTAGCCTCTATGCCTCCCCACTCACTCCTCTTGATTCAGTATTTCGTCTTATTCTCACTGATCTATTTGTTCTTTGCTTTGTTCACGACATATGTACGTACGTTGGATTATCCACCAAATCCAATCAATTGACTCTGAACTGCTTGTTGTCAAGTGGGTCCACAACCAAAGGTGGAGGGGTAACGTGTGGCGGGAGGGGGTATAAGGCCCGACGACGCCCGCCCCTGCCTCTCTTATCTCACTCACTCTGTAAAACTTTACCTAGTTTGGAAACACAGTCGTGGTTCAGTCAAAATCATGTCATAATGATATATTCGCTCGCATTAGTAACCGTAACGTCCAATTCTTCTAAAAAGAGACGGAGCCGTCACGTGTGAAGAGACTTTTCACACATCACCATGCGACGCACCGCCAGCTTACTCACCCCTGCCTAGCCGCCCGCGTCCACAAGCGAGCTTGCAATTTGAATGGCCCATCACTTTATGCGGAACGAACAGTCGGCAAAATAATTTACAAAAATCAGCATGACCTCATGAGTGATAAAGAATCAGACACGCACACAAATAAGTCACAGCGATGGCACATCGAGCAACAAGTAAATGTAGTTAGAGTAGTAGTAGTAACAATAGTGCGTCGTCTTACGTGGATCTACGACACGCGCGGCCCTCGCCACTCGACGGGAAAATCGTGTTCGTGATTATCTATTTGTGTTTACACACATAAAAGTGAGCGATATATCTGAAGTACTCTGACAAGTCTGAAACCCCTATTATGGAAGATAATTAGGGAAACTTTGAATTTGAGAGAGAGAGAGAGAGAAAGAGAGAGAGGAAGAAAGAGACAGAGAGGGAAATCTACCGCGAGCAGCGATGAATTACTTTTGTTCCCGTGAATTTCAGGGTAAATCGTGATTTTTTATCTTTCACGACCGTGACTTTCAAAACTCTCTTACCGATTACAATAATAATTCTTGCCTAATAATTCATATCTCATCGCGAATCGGTCCATTGACAACTAAGCCCCCCGTATCCCGTGTGTACCACACAAACCGGATATCATTATCGTCGGTTTCTCGTCTTTACTCCTCGTCACCGGACTCTATGTAGCTACGGGTGCTATTGCGCGGCTTATTTGTGCACCTGACTTCGAGAGGGACATGACTTCGAATGGAATGAGCAATCAGTGGTAAGCCTGCGAGCGCCGCAGCCAAAAAATTCAAGTAAGTAACCATAACAACGTATCGGTAGTGTCTGATTATCGACTGTTATGAGACCGAGAGTGTGTAGTATGTACAAGAATAGGTATTAGAGCGAGTGTGATTTATGTATAAATGATGAATGGCATGGCACAAAGCCTTGCATTGCACATTCTCGGATACATAGAGAGTCTATAATATAAAATGATAAGCGGGAAAAACGTCCGTTTCTTTCTTTCTTTTCCTTCGTGTATGTGTGTAAGTGTGTGTGTCTTCTTTTTTTCTTTTTCCTTCTTGACTTCCTACTCTACTCTGTTCTCTTGATTTTTCTCTTTTCATGTTCTTTGTTTCATTGTTGTTGTTTCGTCTTCTCCTCGTTTCTTTTGCCTTCACGTAATTGTCGTAACTAAAGGCACCGCCACTTAGGCCGGAATTACCTGGACGCATTTGCAACACAGTTAGGTTCTCGAGAGAACAATGTTTATGGAATAGTACGTCGTGAGGTCGTTTTCGTCAGTCAGCGAAGCTCATGATCGATAAGTAAGTGTTATCGATTCGTGAGGGGAGAGGGAGGGAGGGAGGGCATTTTAACAGCGGATAAAAGAGAGCGAGGAGTGTCCTCTTGATTGGTATGCAAGTCTCGAGAGCTCATACACGCTGTTCTACCGGAGATACTAAGCTAAGTCACTCGTGAGATTCAAAGGACCGAGTCTCTCGTGACTGTTAATGTTAGCACTGGTGGAGCCTCCATTACACGAACCGGCGGGCGAGCATGAGTGTCGGAATAACCGAATTTCGCGACGACGGAGGGTTCTCGAGATGTAGCAAGAATGACAAGTAGTCGCTCGTGCGACTCGTTCTACCCTATCTTAGAGCTGCACTCGCGCAGAATCATTCGCGACGCTCTCATCAAGCGTTATTACGACTTTCTCTCTGTTCGTGTAACTCGGGCGATTCACTTTAGCCGCTATTTAAGAACACCGCACACCGAGAGAAAAAATATCTAAAAGATAAAAGATTCTAGTAATGTCACAATAACAGATTGAATTGAAATCCCTTGGCTTAAGTAGAACAAACGATTGCCTCCGTGAAAAACAACGGTTTTAGGAAAATATATATTTTTCTATTTGAAAATATTTGTTTTTCAATGTTAAAATATGTATATAAATATAAAAACAGGTACGTGTCATTAGTATTCATCGAATAAATACTATTTATTATTTTAGATATTTTTTCTCTCAGTGTGAACACACGTTGGAAAACTCGGAAGCAACGAGAGGCAATGATTCGGGTTCGAATAATAACGGGTTGACGTTCGAATAATGGCGACTCCTATCATGCCACCCATGAGATTTAGAGATAGGTACTAAAAAACTGTCTACGCTTCACTCGTCATGGAAAGAGTAAAGTATGGTTTCTATATAAGATCCTAAAAAGAGGTCACACTACGATGTGAAAGTCAATACAGAATTCTAAGGCTAGACTATGTTAGAATAATAATATTTCAAGTACAAATTCGTGAACATCCGCCCGCAATGTCCGCCGAGTTATGCCCTCCACGGTCTCCGGTCGGCCCGGTCGCGAAATTGGTTGACTTCATCTTGCGCGTTACCTCGCGAATCACCCGTGGAGGTGCTCGACGCGGACGCGTGCGAACAGTGCGAGTGATGGGAATGTTTCGAACACACGTGAGCCCCCGGCTCATAAGTCGTTCGACGCGAGAACCGCGATGGCTCGAGACGCGTCCAACACGAAGAAAGCAATTGTATCCTCTACGTAAAAAAAAAGGGATAAATAAAGGTAGCCCTACTAAGCGGGTCGTCGTGAGCGCGCAGATTTTCGGCAAGTCGCGAACAACAGTTTGCAACAGTCAGGAGGCGTCGACAAGAGTGGACGAGGTCCGCGATGTAGGTCCCTCGCAAACTTCTATCGGCGCTGTTACGTCCGACAATCCAGATAATTCTTAAAGACATCGGTGGCGACGCCAATCGTCCTCGCGGATAACGTAATTTGTGTATCGACATCGGACTATCATGTGAGCCTCGTTGGTCTTTCGATAACGATTGCGTCCGGGCCCGAGGATGCTGTGAATCTGGTGAGGCTCAGCAACCGTCCGCCACATGAGTCCCGATTAATGATACAAATTAAGTCAATGATGACAATAACGTGGATATTTTTTCAGAGTATAATTATTTTTTAGTGCAGTAGAAAATTTTTTTCTGTGCACGATCGCGCAAAGAAATGATATCCGTGATCATTCTGCGCTATGAGAGAAAAAATATCTGCAAAATAACAAAGATTTATTCAGATGTTAAATGCATGTTTACTTAAATCTATATTCCTTCATTTAAATTGAACCAAGTTGCTTTCATAAAAAGCTAAAGAAATATTTAAAAAATGTATATTTTTCCTGTTGAACAAAATTATCTTAATGCAAGAATACTGTCGAAATATGTATATTTTTCCTGTTGAACAAAATTATCTTAGTGCAAGAAGGCTGTCGAAATATGAGACTTGTCAGATCCTATACATATATTAGTACAATATTGGTACCTACACTGTATAAATATTTTTTATCGTTCAGATATTTTTCTGTCAGCGCAGGGATTCTCGGGCGTTTGTCCAGACGAGTTCGTATCAAGCGACAGTCCCATCGAGAGATCAACAAAACTCGCACGACAATTCTGCCTCTTCGGCACAGTGTAATAAGACAGGGTTCCTGCAGTTGTCTCGATAACGCGATAACCGACAATTTGTCCGCGATGGAGGTGTACATCGATGTGAGCAAAAGAGAGTGTGTGGAAGACTAATCGTAGTGGTCGCAGTCGTGGTCGTAACTCGTAGTGTCTCATCGTCGTCATCGTCTTCATCATCTGCGCGCGCGCGCGCGCGCGCACACACCTAGAGAACAAACGTACCTTACGAGCAACTCCCGTAGAGTGGCTTCATCGTCCTCCTGTACCTCTTCCTGCGTCTCATTACTGAACGAGCCGCGGCCGGGGTGATGATGGCGGTGCTGCCTACTGGTCGTCCTGACGACGGGAGGGTACTGGCCGTGCCCGTGGTGATGGTGACGGTAATGCGCGGCGTTGGTGCTGCCCGAGTGCAAGTACCGGGCGACGGTGTTGCTGCTGCTGCTCGCTCGCCCCCTGGTCAGCTTGAGGCCGGCAGCAGAAGCCGGCAGTACGGCGCCTGTACCGGGCTCCACGTGGCTCCTGCGCACGGCATACTGCTCCTCCTCCACCCTGCTGATGACGGTCTGACGCGCACCCGATGGCCGATCGGCCGGTCCGCCGCGCGATTCCGCGCCGTTCGCCCGTCGGCTCCTGCCGGCGCTCCTGCTGCTGCGAGTGGTACCGCCGCCGGCGACTTCCTCCCTAGCTGGCCTGCCGCTGCGCCACCAAGCCGAGCCGTTACCTCCGACCTGAGCCCCGAAGTCGAGTCTTCCTCTGGCACCGGCGTTCTCCTTCTCCTCCTCCTCCTCCTCTTCCTCCTCCTCCTCCTCCTCTTCCTCCCCCAGCGCCTCTCCAACGACGGCACCAGTCGGCTCCGTATCCTGGGACCCCGAGAGGCCCGGGATCTCCTCGTAGAGGCGCTCCGAATCCTGATCCGTCGACACTGTCGCGCTCTGCCACAACTGGTTTATTGGCTTGAAGCCGCGTGAATCGGCCATCGTTCAAGCTGCGTCCAAGGACAGACACGCAAAGCTGTGATGCTGGGATTCACTTTTCGTTTCCCTTTTCATTTGTGCTTTTCTTTGTTTTTCCACCTTCCGTCCCGTTAGACGCGTGTCCAACGGGACGGTTAACTACACAGTGCCGATGACGAGGTTCCTGGGTGACGCTTGTTCGCGATTATCGGGAAATCGCAATGCGGCTTTCTACCAGGACTCGGTTCCCGAAAACACCAAACTCATATCTCCGCGAGAACGCATATTTCGCGATTCTCGTGATCGTTACGGAGACACGAGAGAGGGTGTCGAGCGTTTTGTTTCACGCTAAAGACGCGAAATCAATGCGAACACGCGCGATACAACGAAAAAAAAATGTCGTGTGTATCGCGAGTGTGGTGAAACGTCATCGGTGTGATTCTCTCGCGGGCTTCACAGGTGCAATTTGTGCAACAACAGCAACGTGTCGAGTTCTGACATTGGATTCCAAGTTGAATCTCTCTTATTGAAAAAATTCATAACGCGATCGTGTCGTGCAGGTCATTGGGAAAATAAAAAAAAATAGTTAATTCTAGATTGCCAATGTTAGCCCTGCACTTCAAAAAATCATTTCCTGTGATTTATTAAAAAAAGTTTAAAATTGTAATTGGTAAATACTAAAGCAGATTACAAGTGAGGAAACAAGGAAATCAATATGATTTCATATTGGCAATATAACATTTATTCTAGTTAAATAAAGTTTATTTCTATGAAATAAATTTTGTTTTTATGCAAATAAACTTTATATATTACAAATAAAAAGTGTGACCAGGTATCTATAGGTCACTGGGCTAGGTTTATGGCCAAAATGTTTTGAAGCCATTTTGGATTTAAAATAAAGTTAATATTGTATAGATTATAAATATGCAAGTACACACACACACATATATATATATATATATATATATATATATATATATCACTTGCAAATATGTAATACAGATCGATTTAATCTGAAAGGAATTTTCCTCTTGCGAAAGTATGGCGCCATCTTGTGGAAGTGGAGTTTTCAATAGTCCACATCTGTAGAATCTAATGTTCGACCATTTTTGCACTTATATATTTGTAATCTACGCACCATTTAATTTAAGTCCAAAATGTTTCAAAATTTTTTGACCATCTAGGTTACTGTTGACCGCACTCTTTCTAAGTATTTTTTTCCTCAGTGTAATATTGACAGTCTAGGATTAACACGCTGAGTCCCACGATGATCATTAACGACCTATAATATTGCCGCATCTCACTGATTGCGTGCATGAAATGTAATTATACAATATATTATAAATCAAGTGATCTTTAGTGCATCTTTAGTAAATCAAATTTGAGCATCGAAACAACCAGTGAAATTGAAACTATCAGCATGTAAATTAATAATTTATTAACAATTAACAACCTTTCGTTTTCGTGCGGAAAAGGAAAGGTAGCCACGAAGGGCGCAGAGAAATAATTCGCGCACGAGAGTTAAGCCCGCGACGGCGCATGCAAAATGCCGGCAACTCGCTCGCGAACTTTCCTCGTCCGCGTCACTAACAATATGAGACGTCGCGGGACGCGGTAAGGATAACTGAAATAATAGTGTTTGACTCTCTTCAGGTGCGTTCCCGGCGGAGCGGAAGTTGCTGCGCCCGCGGGATGTAGCGCCGCTGGGGCGCGGCGAACTAAACTCGCGCGTCGCGTTTGGACGGCCGCTTAACTGACTGTGCGGTGACGCAGAGACGGGAATTGTGAATGGCGTTGCCTTTGGGCGAATTACGGGCCGGCGGTAGACCGCCGTTGCCTCGAGGAATTCGCATCGCGGCGATTAATCCCGATTTACGGTTTTTCCGCCTCCTTTTTCCGCCCCAAGGCCGCATCGATCGCGCGATATCGAACGCGGTAGAGCCGCTGGATCGATACGACACGACGTCGACGACGGCGGAGGCTGTTCCAACGGGAAAGATCCACCTGTGCGAACCGCAGTGAGTCAAATCGGTCGCGATGGTTAACAACAGCACTGCTCGTTTCTTTTTCAGCTGAGCCAGGTTGCGCTCCTTGACATTACAATGAAGCAAGTATACATCCTGGTAGAAACGTATGCAGTTTGCTTAGGCAGCTAACTAGTCATTGTCTAGTATTGTAATGTATTTTCATTTATTGTAAGATTGCGCAGAAACCGGTTAGATGACATGTAAGTGTGCGAATGTTTGATTAACGTGATGCGTAAATATAAAATGATTTGAAGTTAAGTACGAGGAGTCAGATAGAGGGGAAGACCGAGTGAACAATGAGTAAACGCGTAGAAAAGAAATTGGAGGAAATAAGACATTTGACAATATTAATTATTCCTGTAACAGAGATGACAACTAAAGTTAGAAATGAAATTGAGTAAAAGACAAATGGAATATATGTTAATAATATAGAACTTCATTGCGATGAGAATACATTAGACTATTCTAATAGTAATGATATAAGTAAAAACTGTCATATTAGCTCAAACTCAGAACTATGAAATAATACAACTACAAGATAAAAGGACGTATTTCTTTAGATATTTATGAAAAACGTCACGTAAAAGCCTAAAAATATGAAAATATATATTACTCACCGAAGATTTTCTGCGCCATGATTAGCATTAAAATTTTTCAGAAGGTATAAAAAATGAAATATCACTAGAGCAAACTTGTCCATTTTATAAGCGGCAGACTTGTGAACTTTTATAAGCGGTAGACTAATCAATTGAATAGTTTTTTGTCCATTTTCTGTTTTGTTTTCATCGAATAAATGGCTTCAGATCTGGCACATCTTTTGCGCAGCAATTGATCGAAAACTGCATTAAATTTCTACCAGGCTAACTTAGCACTGAAGGTAAAAGGAGCAAAGTGCCAGTGCGACTAAAGAGAACAGGTCTAATTCGAAACTATATAAACGAACGGTGAATTTAGGTATAAAATGTAATCATCTGCATACAATAAATTGAATATGTAGCCGATAGAGAGCCAACGAAACCAGTCAATAACGAATATATATATCGCGCGAATTGCATCTTTATTTCCTATATCTTGAATGACTCAAATTTGAGTTGTGCATTAGCGTAATCGGTGAAAATCAACGTATCAATTGATAACGTATCAACAATTAATAGCGAGGATAAATGTGGAGTAATAGATCATCGTGTAACGTATGCAAAGAGTTCACGGTGCGCAGTGACTGAAGTCCGTAATTTGTAAGGTCTACTTTAGAGACGGGGCTTCATATTTAAAAGGGGATTTCATATTTAAAAATTATTGGGGCCACTCCGGTCCACTTCTCGCGACTCGATCCTCCCTTCGCGTAATGTTCCCGAGATATTTTTTTCACTCCCTTTTCTTTTTTCAACGAGGACGCGCGAGAACGGCGATGAGTTTTCGAAAATGGGAGCTGCGCCCTCAACGTCGCGAGGGCGACTGTGTTTCTCCGCGGCCCCGCGATACAATCGATATTCGAGGACGCCACGGGTCCTCTTTCCACCCCGTCCGAAACGTAATCCTCATCTATCATAAATGAAGAAATACGGACTCACCTTAAAGAATTCGCAGCAAGCCATTGTGCCCGGCGATGATATATCACGCCACGACGTTTCGTCTCGCACCTGCTCTCGCCTCGGCCAGGAGGGAGCGAGGACTCTCCGGATCCGATCTATCAGCTATCGACGATCGCTTTGCAACGAACGCATGGGACAAGGGCGGGTCGGGGGAGGGGGCGGG